GGATCTTTCAATGAGGTAGACAGCGGTTCACCTGGAGCTATTTGAAACAATCGCCTTTTGAAATTAATCATCGACCTCAATCATTCGACCATCTTGTTCGGCTCAAATTCTTCGTAATGTCCGTTCTGGCCGAACACGTACAAACATCAGATAGCAAATCGTTTGCTTCCTCATCTGATCTGATGTGAATGAAGTTGAGTTATTTCATGCGGGTGACCAGAGCGATAAGCCAGTAACTTTATCAGTGACACACGCACTCAGCTAAAAACAGTTTGATTCGAAGTGTATCGATTGAAGATGTGTTGACTGTGTGTAGAATCGAACAGATCGTTTGAACTTTCTGTTCGTGCTAATTAATGCGGGCATACGCTTAGAACTTGCGTCTGTTGCTGCGCCGTTTCGGACGAGCACCTTGAGTTACAGTAAGGCAGTGTTAGTGACTTAAACAATCAACTTTGTTAGGAAAACTCTTTTTGTGCACACATGGTTTTTTGATGGATGTTATTTCAGGCTATACAGCAGCAACGTAAACTTCTGAAGATTTAGCAAATGATTTGACCGGGCGTCGCCGCACCAGATACTCAAAAATCCGAAGGGATATTTTGTCTGTCTTCAGGAGGGATATTAATTTCCTCCGGCCTTGTGCTAGGGCCAATAGTGATAAACTACCGATTTACTTGAAGGGCAAGTTTTTGAACTTGGGCCACCCCGATTGATTCAATATAACGTTCACTCGGTGGTGAAGAACCGCCCTCAAAAGGGACCAGCCCTCAAGCTACAGTCCTTCCTGTGACCTTAAAAGTATCTTGCTGATCACCTCAACGCATATCATTACTACTTAAATATCGACTATATATGAATACGAATAAGCGACGCTGTCATCATAATTTCAACCTAAAATTGTTTGGCCCCTTTTAAAATGGCCTGAAACTCACCCATGGTTAATGAGCCGCCCACTGTTTTTGTTTCTCGACAAAAAGAATGTGATCCGAAGACGCATCTTATGGGAATGTGGAGCAAACCCAGGATTTTTGTGTGTGCCCTAGCCCATCTTATTTTTGGACGTCATGATGCTGTGAAAGCACTGCTTGTATGCTTAAGGTAGGAAATTATTGCGCTTCTGTGATCTAAAAACATTCCGCTACACTCATTTGGAAACAAATTTAGTTTTGCGAGAGACTCAACTGGAACCTAGCTGAATCTATCGTTTGTGATGTTTCGAGGTGTGTTTCAGTTGCCTGGAAACATCATAAACAAGAGATTTAACTAAGTTCCAGGTGAATCTCTCGCAAAACCAAATTTGTTTTCATATGAGTGTGGTTTGCTAATTTCGTGCAGTTTGGTTTCAAGTAGACCATGAGGTTGACAGAAACTCGGGGAGTGCGCTTACCTGACGAGCCCTGAAAAGGGCAAAGCTGGTCGTGGGCTGTCGAAGAATTATGAGCAACCTCATGAGTAGTGCATTACGAATAAACAATTTGCAACCTTGTATAGACGTAACACACTACTCATAAGTTTGCTGAAGACTCTTAGGCAGCCCACGACTGGTTTCGTTCTTCTTGGAGTTTTTTGCCATAAACTGGGTTCCAGGTGAGTCTCCCGTCTAAGCCAAATCGGGATACAAATGAGTGAATTTCGCCAATTCTGTTACCCTCTTTTTTGAAGTTTCTTACCTGATGGTACTGTAAACCATGTTTGTTAAATTTCTCGCACCGTCACCTAAATTTTTAATCTCTGGCAAATTTTTAGATGACGAATGTGATCCATGTGCAAAGCGGAATATAACTGTTAAAAAAATAAATGAAATACCGAAATTCTCAATTCTCGGGCAATTGTCAGCATGTTTTTTTAACTAACCCAAAGACAGTCTGCTCAACGGAATAACTGACAATATCAGAGTCCTCCTGAGACATAACCTCCTATAGAAAAGGCTTTGACAATATGTTTGACTTTTCTCTGTGTTCTATCCGGTACTTCTAAAGACGAAGTTATCCAAAGTACTAACTGTATTTGGAAGAATATGCCACGACTGATCATCGGATGATCCAATATCGCATTTTAACTCAAACCGATTCGTGTAAAGGCGGTATTGTTGAATCCTCATACCAGGGAGCCTTAGCTGAAATACAGTGGGGAACCCAAGTTCACAATAGAGCTAACGGGTACAACCAGATTACCTCATTTGCAAACCAGAGTTATCACAAACTAAGGAGCAGTATATCTTGTCAGGAAAACGGACATCTGAAGTTCCATCAGAACAAACACATGAACTTTGCACACGCATAATTCTTCTTTCAACGCTCTTGTCTTGAGCATTTGGTTTGTAATGAACACCACCATTACATGCACATGTTTGCATGTAAATCACAGGATGTCCTAAACCTGAAGAAACGTTCATTTGCTCTCTGAGCGTGCACTTATTTCACCACGGCTCATTCTTGCTCATCTTTTTCATAAATAGCCCTCAGAGGTGAGCGTTCACTTATACTTTAGGTAGTGCTTCATTTGTAAGATGCTCCCCCATCACCAACCCCGTAAACTTAAACTTTCGGTATTCCACTGCACTGCACTACGTAACATAATCACTGTCACAAATGCTACGAACTAACACACTTTCAGAACAACCGTTCATGGTTGAATGACGAACAAACACTAGAGACAATGTTTCACGCATTTGATTTTTGTGAGCTTTTATGAAGCGCATGAGTGTGGCTCACAAGTTGCACAGCGTTGGTAATTCGCATGAACCCGCGCACTCCTTCGGACACAATTCCCTCACCAACCTGTGACTGTCAAGTTTTCTTTTTGTCGCACCCTTTGGCGATCGATGAGCACATCCGCTATAAACGCATAGGGTGCAATGTATTGTGAATTTTCTGTCACTGGCCAGTGAGGACGATGCAGTGTGGGTTCATATTTTTCATCCATCCGTATACCCGGTGACCCAGAATTGTTTGTTAAAAACAGTCATTTTTTTGACGTCTTCCCCCACCTGTGTAGTCACTCGCTCCAAAGTTGTGAAAAAGCGTATTCACCAAAGTTTCATTCAAAACCAGATGTGCTACAAGGTGCTACAAAGTAATCTGATAGTAATAATAACGTATTGTTAGTATAATAGAAGATTATCCAGTCGATCAATCAAGTAGGACGAAATCATACCATAAGGCAAGAACGAGATGACCTAGTCACAACGTAGGAGCAGGACTGTCGAGTTGACGGCGCCAAACGAACAGAGAAGGCACAAAGAACTGAGATCACAACGCACATCTGATTCCAAGCTGACCAGCCAAATCACTCGAATCCTTGAGGATATTAGCTACTATTTAGAAACTATATAATCACAGGCAGAAGAGGAGGAATGTACTCACTCAACCACGCACTGACGATATCAACTTTGTTGGTGATGAAACGTTCGCAAAGCGACTGCCAAGCTCAGTGAAGAGACCAAAAATCGAGTAATATGATGACGCTGGACAGATCGCATTCGAACATTATGTTGGTGAAGTCCGGTTCAACCTCACTGTATCGGGAATTCACAAAAGGTCTGTGTCTTTATTATTTGAAGGCACTTGCAGAAACCTCTTTCGCCTGCAAAGTCGCTTTGGGTGACTTCTACACTGTTTCAAATGTTCGGTAAGATTGGCGGTTTTTTGCATGTGTTTCATCGCCAATCAAGCTGACACCCTCAGTGACTTAATGGGAAGCGAAGTGAAGCGGTCTTTTCAGTGGGCATGTGCTGAGTTGTGTTTGTTCCAAGTTTATGCACACTTCTATGCACTTCTATGCACTGTGACTGGTTTTTAGGTCAGCAGTTTATTGGTTGGAATGTTTGGTCGTGATCTGATTGGTCGATGTACCCACTGAACTCGAACCCTCCGAACCGCACCTATAAAGCCTAGTGTATTACTCCCGCGGTAGATTCTGTTTCCTGATCTGTTTGCATGATGGATCAAGTCAGTAGATCATTTCTTCTTACGGTAATATTTTAGAACATTTCCGTTCATTGCAGTTCATCCGACAGATAATGTCGTTTTGGTTGGCTGTCACAGCTGTCTGTATCACAGCGAAACTGAGAGACATAAAAGAAAACACAACAACCACTTTAGAAATCTCAGTGGACAGAGCTCGAAGAAAAAAAAACTAATTGGGCAACATCATCAACCATAAACACATAGACAAGAAGGCTTCTCAAAATGAAGGACGTGTATGAATTAACAGTAGGATTATTTCAACTGCATGGGCTTGAAAGCTGAGTGCCGCCTTGTGAAGACTGATTCCAGTTAGTTGCATTAAATTTTTGGATCATCAAACCTTCCAATTTTTATCGCGTCATCTTTTTCAAAAATTGTAGATTAACCGTATCAGCATACCTGTCATCTAATTCGTCAATTTCATCTCCCTTGTGGTGTGAGCTTGTTGGGCCCACCCAGGTTGCCAATCAGAAAAACAGATCCCAGGCGGTGACCGTTAATTCAAAGCTCTTAAATAAACAAAAAACCAAGTCTATGATTTAAGATTTCAGGATATGAGAGAATTTTATATTTGAATAACTTGAATGCATTCTTTCTGGGTCGTGTGGGAATTTAAACCCCCGCTGAAAGATATACGTTGCATGATTTATAGGAGGCAGTCTTACTATCCATATAGAACTGTTCAACCGTAACACAGTTTCGTGGCCCAGGTGCCTTGCTACGCGAAGAAATCACGAGTTACGAGATGCCATATGGCTGCCCAAACAGGAGCATTCGAGACACTGTGGTCAGTTTTGAACCACGGACTTCCCGGTCAATGAGTCCACGCCTTCACCACTGAGCTATCTCGAGCTGTATCATCCATATAATTTGACGAATTTCCAATCCAAACGAACTGCTCCGCTGTGGATATCTTTTCATTCCGACTCATACATAAACCACCTTTTACGATGTCATGCAATTTCCCGAGCCGCCAGACAAGACGATAAGAGAGGTAATATTTCATCCCGTTGCCTAATCATTTTTCAGAACTGTCCAGCAACTTCAGGAGGTCTACGCACGCAGGCCATAAAATATGTGACGGATTTTGCAGTGGAGGGTTACAGAACGTTGGTCTTTTCCAGTCGACAGTTGGAAGAGGCGGAGTATAGAACACTTTTGACCGACTTGCACAAAGCATCGGGATTAGTTGGCAGTGAACGGGCCACAGCGATGCAAAATGCCTATGCTGCAATCGAGACCAACCTTTCCCCCAAATTCGTCACAGCCGTGGAGGATCAACTGCAACCTGGCGTCAAAGAATGTTTGAAAAACTTACGTGAGGCCGGAATACAAGTAAGTTCACAAGGCCCTATGGGAAATCCGTCGGTTTATTCAGCCGCCCGTACAGAGTCTTTATTTACATTCTCAGTGAACGCCGAAAAGCATCTGTACAGTTTCGGCCATTGGTATTGTGGGAGCAATGGTTGATACTACGGAAAAGCATTGTATCCCTGGTCTAACACGCCAAGAGAACCAAATTTCCTGCGTCTCCTTGTAGATGTTCAAGAGCGCATTTGCTTGCGGTGAAGCATGTTGGAAAGGCGGTACAGACGGAACTTATCCAAGTCTCACAACAAAATCTCAATTACACTTAGAATCCAGTGTGCACAGCTTCAAGCGGTTCAAATTTAACGTCTCCGAGACTGACTAAATTTCTGGACAGCACATGAAATAAGGAGTTCTCCTCCGATGAACACTACTCAGTAGACTAAGTTAGGAGTGGGAAGGCTCCATTAGGAGGAGTCGACAAACGTCTTGCTGATAACTAAAGAAAACTCAAGTCAAATATTCATTTTTTTACCTCATTAGAAGTCAGTTTGGTTTTCACAGGAGACTCAGCTGAATCTCTCGTTTATGATATGCTTCCACTGAATGTGCTGCACAAGGGCTCCCTCAGGTTTCAGTTGGTACGATATTCGAGATATCGTAGTATATTTTCATAGAGGAGACTACTCACAAGGTTGCTGAGAACTCTTCGACATCCCGGGGACTGCGCCTACCTGATGAGCTCCAGGAAGGGCAAAACGGGTCGTGGGCTGTCGAATAGTTTTCAGCAAACTTGTGAGTAATCAGTTTCTTTTGTGTATGGCATTATATTATTATGTTATTCTCTGTATAACCCATTCTGTTTAAAACAATTTTATTGTTGTGGACGATAAACATAAGATATTAATAAGGTCTTTTTTCGCCAAATCTTGCTAATCAAATCAGGTACTCTACAACTGTCTGTGGTCCTCATATCGGTATAAGGATACCTGTCACCAAACTTGGTGACACGAAGCCTAGAAAGGCATTCGGGTAGAGAAATTATCGCACTCAATATTTGCTTGCGTGATTTCGGACTGCGTAAACTGATCTATAAAAGTGGCTTCAGAAAGCGACAGGTAAAAAGATCTGTGGTCATGTCTATTTTTGGTAATTTAACTCTTAATTTACAAACAGCAGCAGCTTCATATTAGTTCGAAAAAATCTCTGATGCCTTTTTGGCTAAAATGGATAATCCTTACTGTACTTTTAGGGGCAACAGACATCTCACTTCTTATGATATGATCGTCCAGATTTGGACCACTCATCTGGGTTACCAACAAGATAGGCGTGAGTAATAAGGCAAAAATACCCGTTGACCAGAAAAGCTGGTCTAACTACCAGCAAACTCAGACCGCCTTGGTGCACACAATGGCTCGATGCAAGACATACAGGTCATAATGCCACACTTTCATGCAGAAGACCAAACTATTCAGCTCATTGGACAGTCTCAGAAATGAAAATGGAGGTGATTTGTACAGCTAAACTTAGATCGTGAAGATTCTGGAAATGTGCGAAAGAGCTTGTGCGGTTGAGACAACCAGGGTGAATTCACAGTCTGCATTTTCTGTCTCCTTGTTTGTCGTTGTCTTCGGGATTCTGACGTCGTTTCGTGTTCGTCACATCGCCTGACTGCACTTCAACGCTTGAGGCCGTGTCACACCAAAATAGCAAACGTTAGCCACCAGCAACAGTGAGGGGTCAAAATCGTGCTGTTTTGACCACCTGAAAATTGATTAAACCAGGACACTTACGCTGCTAAACCTAGCCAATAGGCTTTCGAAGAACAAGTCACATTTCGGTCATAGATGAACAGAGCCGATGCCTATATAGGTCTCAATAAATGACAGACCACCAGAGACATGGAAGGGGGGAAATTTGGGGAGGCGAAGTTCAACAAGATGCATAATTCGTCGGGTTAATCCAGGTTCTTCCACTCACTTCGGTTGCTAAGCTAGCCTTGATGTTTAGATAATTAAGCATCCACGCTTGAACGTGCAATTCGCATTCGCAATGAACCACTCATATGCACTTTATGGACAGTAATGAATACTAGTAAAATACACTCAGTTGCAAACCAATTGGGTTTTGCGGGAGACACAGCTGGAATCCAGCTGATGTTTTGTGATGTAATGAATCCTGTTTGGAATCACTAGCGCCAAACTCCATAGGGTTTCCAGTCCACAAGCTTCACGAGATTGGTTGTAAATTGTATTGCACAGAGGGTAGAAAGTTTCGTAACAGAGTTTGATGTTTTTTCACCTGAGCAAATCGCCCAATTTATTAAGAAGAATCTATTGTCTGTGTTGCCAAAACCGTCAACGCATCAGAACCAATTGCAGACCGAAGAAAATTCCAGGATTAAAATGCATTTTCAAGAGAGATTTCGTCCTTTAAGAGGAAGCCAACCTATGCTGAAGAACAGAGAAGCGCTGTACAGATATTGTCTTTTTTGGTAATCATCATCTATGCTCCCCTCACGAAACTCCCGTAGGAAGCATCGAACCTGCAATTTTCAGGCTGGTAGTTTGAACACGACCTTTCAGCCGCAAGCGGCTGATTAATCGACACATACGGGATATAGCGTCAGTCATCCTTCAGTCACAGAATCCACATTTCCTGGTCACATGTCAACTGACCCCTCAGGTGACTACTACTAGACAGGAGGTCACAGGTTTGCAACTCGCCGGAGTTCCGTGAGATGTGTACTGCTGATGATTTCAAATAAGAGTGAAACGGTTGTACGGTGCTTCTGGGCTCTTCAACATAGATTCGCTTCACGGACGGGATGGGATATCTGTTGAAAATTGCCAGGGTTCTTCAACCTAACGACAATAAAAAAGCATCCCCTTGTAGAATAATATAGATGAGCATGAGTAGTTTTTTCCCAGTGATGTCTAATGAAGTAAAAACAGTAAATAGTGAGCGACCAGGTTTTCTTTGGATATCTCCCGTTCATAAAGCTCAGTCGGAAATGTACGCGGCTAAAAACTGACTCCAGCTAACTCTCAAATTCATGGCTTTTCTTATTTATACTGTGACAGATTTCTCAACATCAGCTATGTTTCCATAATTGCCTGGGCCGGTATCTGAAGCCATGTGGCTCCTTAGTTTCATACTCATTGACCGCTAGTCAATTCTTTTCCTCGGATTCGTAGAAACCATCACATTTGCTCGTTTGGTGTAAGGCTTCATTCTTGCGAGGAAACCATAACAATTTTTCCTGTTCACTCGGTGATCCGAGAATGATTTTCACATGGATTTAGGCCCACCAACATGCGACTAAGAATTGAAAAGTTATCACATCCATTTTGAGATTCAGCTTCACTGTGTCTAGGCACCCTGTGCACACACCAGCTACGGACTGCCAGATACCAGCGATACAATACAGTGAGTTCAGTGGGACACGTAACTGTCGATCTCCTCGTACTGATTTCTTTCCTAATGTAACTCTTCCCTTTCCACCACACTTGGAAATTATGGACAGGTTTGATGCAGATTATGTTAAAATCAGACCATCCATCTACATTTCTTGACCTGAAGTTCATTCAGCTAGAACTCACCTCTGAGCTTTTTAGAATACAGACTAGTTCTTCATTGTTTCCGAATACCTTTCGTCGTAATTCCGTTGTTGCATTATTCCCAGGTCTGGATCTTAACAGGGGACAAGGAAGAGACGGCCATCACAGTGAGTCAGGCTGCAGGACACTTCACCCAACAGATGAGTTTGCTACGTCTAACACACTGTCCCGACTTTGAAACAGCCGCCTGCATGGTATTTGAACAGCTAGAAGGTTTGCAGTCACGTACGGATGAACGCCGACTCAGTCGTGGGAAGGCGCTGACTAGCCACACGGAAAAGTTTTATCCCCAGATAACTGCCACAGCTGAGGAAGTAGACGATGCTCTGTATGCAGTCGCTGAAGAAGTCCTTAGTAGTGAAGGTGAAAACGCTTCAAAAATCAATCGCATTAAAAATCTACAAAGAAAGATGTTATCGCTAACTCGAACAAAAATTACCTCAAGAACGCACCGGAGAAAACACCGTCGAAGACCAGGTTGTGGAGGAGAACCGATTGGTTTGGTGATTGATGGGAAAACACTTAGTTTCATGCTCCAAGTAAGTTCGGTCCCAGATTTTTGGTCTTCAAAAACGGGTCCCCCTAAAAGAATTATTTCAAATCTAAGAATTCCTCAACAAAGTATTCCGTGGCTTGACAACAAATACCTTATGTTTCCCTTAAAAAACAACCAGGATGGAAAATGTGCGCACCTGGTCTTCTCAAACTCTGATAATAATTAAACTTCGAGCTTCTGTGGCGCTCACTGACTGGGAATTCCTGATAGGCGGAGCAGTCGATCGATGCAAACAGCACATTTACTGAGTCGACGTTCGAGCCATCGGGCAACACAGTTATTGTTCAGACATGAACATGTCCAGCTGTTCAGACTTGAAAATCCAGGTACATCCAGCGTGCGCTGGTGGCGTAGTGCTAACACGTTTGCATCCCACGTCAGATGTCCGGAGTTGAGACCCCAGCATGGCCAAGGATATGCACTGCTGATGAGCTCAAATAGGGGCGAAATTCCAGTTCACTACTTCTCAGTTTGGTGTGAACTCACCAGAATAATCGCGCCAGAACAGGAGGACAACTGTGCAGACTAGATTGACCTGAATTTCAATTACCCATATATAACAAGCATCAACATAAACCCAATTGTCTGGTTTTGCAGTCATTCAACTGCTGTTACTGTCAGTGTCACGATACATTCCAGCAGATTCACTCAACTTTCGTGGATGCTCGCAAAATGTAGTATCACTCCGATGCCTAGCTGCACGCTACCTGAAGAAAGCGAGAGGGCCGGGATACTGTCAGCTTGGCCAGGCCTTGAAAAGAGCAACGGAGGTACAGAATTGGGGTTCGGACTGTGGACCTTCGGTTCATAATTCGTATTCAAGTCAGTTATGCAGTAATTCGCCTGTTGAAAGCCCTCTAATGCATAGCATACAGTGCAGCTGGGGTTCACAAACTCTATTGATAAGGAGCGCTTTGTTTCCACGGATTTTCACAGATATTCGCTTCCGGTGACTGTAGAACATAATCTATTGTAAAATCGTGGACTACTCTGGAGAAAATAGTTATACCAGTGGTGAAAAGCGTTTTGTCAAAAGTTGGTGCAAGCTTGTCATGACGGCGTAAAGCAGGCCGACAAAGTGAGTCACACATAAAAGTACCCGTACTTGCGTTCCCTGCTACACAGATGAGCGTGAGGACGTTGTTTAGAAGAGGTCAACGAAAGATATCAATGTACGTGGTCTGTCCCAACTCTTGGCGGGACTCCGTAAATATTAAACGTCTATTCCGATACATTACGCGTTCGACACAGCATTCGTACCTGTTAGGTTGATGTGAAACTAGCAGACAGCGAGGGAGTTGGAAGTCACGGTTCATTCACTAAGACCACCTGCATTGCTGATCAGGTTGGTTATTCATCCGTGTACAGAAACAGTACCACGTAACAAACGAGTACAAACGTTTGGTTTGAAGACCTCACCAGGCTAACCTTCGTGAGTCTGCAGTGCCGCGGCGAGAGTTCGAAAAAACTCGCTGACTTATATAATCCATTTTGCACAATAATCCACTTTCAAAAGTTACCACAGTTATTCTACTTTCGATAGGAAAAACGCCCAAAACCGCCTCTTAATTTGGAGGGAAGTCCAGAGGCTACTTGCTGTTCTGAACAGCTCCAACACACCCTCGAGGTTCGCGAAATACACTCATTTGCACTGTGATCTGGTTTTCACGAAAAACTCCACTGGATCACAGCTGAATCTATGATTTATGATATCCTTCAATTGAAGATGCCACACAAAGACCATCTCACTTTTCAGTTGCTACGATGTTCGAGTTAGCTCACTGCATTTATTGAACGAAACTACCTACAGTGTCGAATAGTTTTGAGTTTTGAGTATTTTCTTTTAAAAAATTATGCTTAAGGTTGTTTGCTCCATTATCCGGTCACCTCTGGAAGTTTTTACTCTGTTTCACTTTTCAGGGAAAAATCAATTCACAATAAAGAAGTGAATAAGAACGTACGGACCCACAGAATAGTTGTTGCACTAATAAGTTAAGGACAGGTTGTGTTGCGCCGTCAAAACTGTTGGTCATGAAAACTTCTGAAGTTCACTGCTGCCATCACAGACTAAACTAGTGGATCTGTATGAATCTACAAGGTACGATGCTTCGTAGATCTCATCGCTCGTTGACCTGAAAAGGTGCTATCATAATGGCCTTTATCTACTGGTCAGCACCCACTAATCAGTGTTTGGCCAAGGCGACTTTTGGGGGTAAACAAAGATCATCAAACAGGCGCATAGCTGTAGTTGAATTTGAAGTACTTTGTGAATCCAGTTTGTAGTACATTTTAGTTCTGATTGCAAATCATCGTCAGTAGTGGATTGACGCAACACTGTGAAACTGGTTATGAATCCATAGTATTCAGATGGGTGCCCATTTGGGATTCACCTGATAAACGTAATATATGAGATCCCACTGGGGTTCTCCCTGAACACCAAATTAGAAAATGCCAAAGGGAAAGGTGAAGGGGAAATCTCAACTGAATCTCAGCACACCAAATTCACATACACTCAAAAAATGAATTAATCTAGTTCTAACTAGTAACTGAACCAACCAGCCCACCAGTAGCAACGTAACAAACAGTTGTGCGTTCCAACGCCCCAAGCCGTTTGACTCAACAATAGCAGCAACGACCACACCAAACCGCTAGATATGCCTGAAATAGACAACTTTTGACATAACACGACGGAAGAGAATTGGTAGTGATCACATCACATCCGTGTACTTGATCTAAGTATGCAAGAAATTTTTAGCTATTTGCGGAGACTAGAAAGTACGGGTGTACCGGTACATCGGAACATGCTCATTCCACATTAAGTCATCAGTGTACTTGTCCAGTTAATGCACTTAAAACCACCAGAGAGTGTGAGCCAAATAAAAACTGGTGCAATTACGGTGTATGGCGCGATATGGTGGTGAACCCCCTGCAAATTTAAAAACGCTTGCCTTTTGATGTATGAGTAGTTAGTGTATGTCAACACCATTTGCGCTATTGGCCAGAGAGCAAATTTAGACCCAGGCTGCTCACCCAAATTTCCGAAGGACCCACAAAGTTACGGGTACTCTGGGAATATCAAATTGAATGTTACCGATCAAGGTATGCGTCTAATTTGATCGAATATCTCATCTTATCAACAACAATAAACCGCTTTTCGTCGTTTCAAAAGAACAATTACGTTTGATAAAAAACTACGGACTCAGGAGGGTTGTGCGATGTACAGAACCTGCCGAAATTTTTCGTTTAGTAAGCATAGTGACAGAAGTATCCGTTCATGTAAATTCAAAATTCGAAATTCAAAATAGGACCTGGTGAGTCACAAGATTCAAAGTCGCTTTAACGTGGTCTGAACGGAAAGAACTGACCTGACTTGCAATCACCGAAGTACTTCAGTTATCATTTGTTCACACATTGCACGTTCGGACTAATTCAAAGTGCAGATCCAGACTGAACTGTGGCATACAGGTCTTAAGTGACCTACTAGGCTGTATGTAGAGTGCTAAGCAATTTTTCAGAGCTTTTACTGAAAGTATACTACATGGAATATTCGAATTGATGAAGTTGAGGGGTGTCGAATATGAGAGACTTGAGTCTATAAAGGCCCGCTAGAATAGTAACAGCCGCCTGGAGATAAACGGCTTTGTGAAAAGCCTAATTCCTGAAGACACGGTCCAATGAAACTACACATCGTACGAATGAAAAGTTTTTTCACGATTGACGGTTTTACGCATGAAATTTCTCACAGGAGCACTAAGAAGAGTAGGGAATTCCACGAGGACTCTCGAATCTTTCACACTTCAAACAAACTGTTCAGAAATTCAAGACTGCATTTTCCATCTTCTACTTACAACCTGAAAGTCTGCGTAATGGAGGGGCTTTTGCAGCTATTAGCCAAAACTACCTAAGTTTTGTAAAAATGCACTCTATTCCTCCGGAGTACAACCTGAAGGGCAAATCACACGCTGAATTGTCGGATAACCTGTCTCTACTTGGGCAAGGCCAATAAAAACTAAATGCACGAGACGCGAGTGTGTTTTGTGGTGAGAAAATCTGTGTGGGTGGGTAAATAAGGCAGTTATGTGGAGAAGTATGGCCGACTAATCACCACTTATTCTACATGACTAGTTATCCCAAATTCCTGGGCCAGATGGCAGGCTGGCCCATTCGTTGGTCAAACATTTTCATCCAAGATAGACAGAATGTTCACCCTTTTCGTAAATTCGCTGCTGTACTGTGCATTATGTTTGACTCGAACGGAAGCCTCAACGCAGTAAACTCTATCCCTTTCCGTTATCATCTGTTCTATTCCTTTGAAAATTCAAATTTCCGGGTAACTCTGGCATCAACCACCTCCAGTTTCCACCTTATTCTATCTGTAGCTGATTTCCTTGTAAAATTGGGGTTATGCCCACACCCAGTGACTCAAATGAATATACGCATGTCATAGTTCCCATGTCCTGGAGAATTAGACATCCAAAAATGCTTACCAATGTCTCAACATTATTCCTCTTATTATCAAAATTCAAGTGCAAATCTCCTCTACTATTGGGCCTCGAGCGTCGTTTCATCATGACAGTTCAGCATTCCATTTGTCACGTTGACATGATAATGCTCTCTGATATGAGCGGTATTCCACCTGTCGTGCTCCATAACCATCTGAACTACATCAGTTATTCATCTGTCTTCACTGGGCGATTTCCTGTGAATAGGAAGGCCTACCATTCCGTTTCTGTTGCACGGGTATCACCGAAATTTGCTGGCCATACCGCTACTGTTTAGTCTTGAAAGCAGTATCCCACTAACGAACGAAAAATCACGTGTACACGTATAATATATGCTTTATAAACTGTGTAGGTGCAAGTAGAATTGAAGGATTTACCCATCCTACTGTTCAATGACGATGACCCCTTGCATGGTGGCCGATTATTTGCAAACCAATGCCAAGTTTTGCCAAAGTATCAACTGCCATCTGGTTAACAGCGAAACCACTCAATCACTAGAAGGATTCAGATACCAGGTATCATCATGCTCCTGGTGACCTGTTGGGGTGTGGTTCCTCCTAGCTACCGATCGGCTTTAACATAACATACTATTAAATGTCCGTATCAAATTCCTGTTCACCAGCGCATTATCGGTAAAATCCGTCATTTTCTCCAGTCTTCAACGCAATATTACACTGAACCTTATAATACTAGTAATCGAACCTGTATGAGGGCGTACTGTCACTCGCCAGTCTTTGGTTGCCGCTATACCTTCCGGCGCATGTCAGGCTTAGATTCGCGACCATGTAACCGCAGTCCCTAAAATGCGGACTACTGACAAGTTAACGAGTAGTTGAACGGAAGACGTCCAAATCCTTCGCCACTTATTTGATATTCACTGACCGTATGTTAAGTCCGTAGGCTTTCCGATGCACTCTGTCACTCTTTTTGAAACCGTACATTTTGATTGGTCTTGCCACACAGTTAATAAGCAGCCCTACTCGAAAGTACTCTGAGGCAGACTTGCTCGAGCATTCAGGTAAGTAACTATTAACGCGAAGGTCCGTCGGAAGCTCTTTTGAATTCTCCATACCCATGAATCGGATTCAAGCAGGAATACAGATTGATAGAAATTTGAGGATGAGTCATGACTGAAGTAGGCCGAATACAGAGAAATTGGTAGTGGGGTGGCGGTGGCGGTGAAGCTCTAGCCGTGTTGTTTGTAAAGAACTGGGCTCCATTAGGTAAGCTATTCATGTATGTTACTACTGCAAAACTCAAGGTGGCTAAGACCCTATCGAGGGGGGATCGTTGGCTTTTCACTGTCTGGGCACATGTTAACAACACGCCGATGCTACCATTCCATACGGTCAAAAGACTTTTGCGACCAAGCGCTGTCCAGTTCGACAAGCAGACCAACGATCATACATGTCCTCTGGCAAACAGATGCCAAGGCATTTCAGATAACCCACAGAAAATATAGTTTTAGGCAAAGCTGGCGAATCAAATATGAAAATACACTGGTGCCTGAGGTTGGCAACCGGATGATGAAGCTGGCACTAAGGACGCTACTGAGGTGTTGAGAGGTCCACGTGGCTGTGTTATAAAAAGATCTGCATTCTACGGCCGTTACAGTCCTACGGTTGGCCCGATCGTATCGCTGGAGAAATCAGCCGGTTTCTACAGTACCTTTTTACCACGGCAAAACCATATAAACTGCCAAAATATCGATCGGCTACTTTCACATTTCATCCGGAAACGCACTACCACTTTGTCGGTGGTCCATGGATTCTTGGCCTCTATATCGCTGCCCGCCTCAAGCTTCACTAAGTCTGCTGGAATTCAGCGTGAGGAACGATGTACAACCAAATGCGGGGTGAGGATTGGCATCATGTTTTTGAGGTTTAAAGTGAGCAAGAAGTTGCTTGTAAACCAAGACCGCAGAGTTCCAGCTGGAAACATGCGTTTTAGGGCATACTACTGGACAACTCTCTAACGTGTGTGTCTCTTAGCTGTGCAACATTAGACTCAACGGTTCGGCCAAAAGCTCAATCGCGGGCCCATAGTCATTCAGAACGAGTTGTTTCACGCCATTTGCCGAGTATCAAATAGGCTGCCAGTATCGCTCCAACGGCATTGCTTGACTACAGCCGAGACAGTCGTTGTACGTCGGTACTTTCTTATCAAAAAGGTCTGCCTTGGTCATGTGACTCGAATCAACAGACCAAGTTAATCAACGGCCCTCTGGAATGCCCCACAACATCCATTTAGATGCGACGTGGGGTGCGCCGACAACCAATCGTTCGTTGTCCCCACGTTTTTATTTCACTAACCAATTTTTGCGGAATATTTCATTACTTACCTTTATTTCAACCAGCAGATGTGTGCCGACCTAATGACGAAACCCCGTAATGTTCGTCACTGTGTTCCTGTTCAAACCATAGGAATATTTAAGATATTCCAATCTGTTCGCCTGACATATCGGCCGAACATTCAGCAAAATAGTACATGTTTTCTGTTAGCGAAGGGACACACTAAAAATTGACTGCAAGCAAGTTAACATAATTGAAATCGACTAGAAGCTCTCTGCCAACACTCCGTATGCGTTCATTCCTTTTTATTGATAAGGGCTGAGATAGAGTTCCACTGAAATATGATAGTAGAGGGATTTATGGTCTTACCAATGCAGCGAGACAAGCGAAAACACTTTGAGGGCAATTTTTGGTACGTTTTACTCTTTTATGAATGGATGTATCCATAACCATGACGAGAAATATTACCTCTGCTCCCCCTTGTCGGTCCTAGCCATCCCTTCGCGAGGCGTTCCTCGATCTATGCATGAATGTGACAACAGTTTTGTGCTGCCGAATGACACCCTTACAAAAGGCCTCCATTGTGCAGCTCGTTCAGTTTGGGCTTTCGGTGAATTCTATAGGGGGTGGTGGACCACCTGTCACAGCGGCTGTTGGAGACGGCGGTAATGACGTCGCCATGATTCTTCAGGCAAGCGTTGGTGTGGGCATCTATGGGAAGGAGGGGTTAGAAGCAGCGCGCGCAGCAGACTACAGTATTCCACAATTTAGGTAAGTATTTTTCCTGCGATTTCCTGTTTAAATTTTCTCCAAGTCTTGTACAGAGTGTCGATCTGTTGGGTCAGTTTCACGTGTACCGTCAAAAGCTCCATGCCTTTCTTGATGCAACATACGCTTCAGTTCATCTCATCAGTCACCAGAGGTTCCGATTTCATACATATAATCCCTCTGGTCGTTTATATTTTTGATGACCATAGTAATCCAGCATGAGAAGCCAGAAGAAATCACTTGTTCCTTCCTGAGTGGGTGAGCTTCATTCAACTGGTCTATGTGTTAGAACGCAATAGACGTAAGACCTGTTGTAGGCTTTCTATTAAAGTGTATTCCGTTTGAGTAGGCTACTTCTGGGTAAAAAGTCACTTCGCATAGTTTTAATGTGATGCAGTTTCGAGGTCAGAATAGAAAATCAATTTTTGCGTTTATCCTGACGGAACGTGAGTTTGCTAAAAGTTCTTCCACAACTCACGTGTTTTCACCCGTTTTGGAGCTTATCAGGTAGGCGCAATCCGCCACAGTCCACCAAGCTTACGTCACTCATTAACCCCAATTGAATGGTATTCGATGAATTCATTCATCTGAGAACGAACTTGGCTCTAATGGAAGACTAAATTAAATCCCATATGAATACCTGGTCTATGGATTTAGCGCGCTACGGCCGCCTCATAATTCACCTGGTATGACATTCGAGATACCGCGAGAAAACACCACTTATAAGGTTACTTTAAACTCTTTCACAACCAATACGGACGAAACCCGTAGACATCTGTCGAAGAATCTCCATCAACTTTACCAATATTTTACCGTGTCAAGTAATCTCTTTCGCCTACCAGCTAATTAATCGAGGAACTTGCGGATAAAGAACATTTTGCATCATCCATTAACTTCCTTTTGGGTTCTATTGCACGCCAATATGATCCACGTTGAGGATTTTGCTTTTCCTCACTATCGATCTTGCAAATCCTTCAGGACTGGTTACCACGGCAAAAAGAGTACCTGAACTCTGATTCTTGGATCCGACAACAGTGTATCACGTTATAGGAGAGACTGTTCTAGGAAAACAAAATCGTCACCTATCTCTCTTACCGGTGGCACGAAATCTGATAGGCAGGAGGTTTGTTCTGAACTCACATTCGTGGGGATTCCTCTTGAGAGACTCCTTATTGGGCAACTGAAAACTGGCGGAATACTAATTCAGAAGAGACTACCAGAGAGAGAACAGAAGGAATTCCCATCAGGGTAAATCCAATATCATGTCGCTGGTGGCATGAAGATTGCAGTGGATTGCCTCACGTGGTCCTGCTTTGGCGGAAATTCTGTAAAAATCAAATATCCTATATACAGTGCACTATCAGCATAACGTCAGTTACTACAAAAGCAAGCTCCCTCATCCCCATCCAATGGATCGCAAGAACAGTTTTCGATTGCATCCCTCATTCTAATGCTACTGTATTGATTCCCGCCCCCCGTCACGAAAGCCTGTATGAAAAGCAGCGAACGCACAGACTGTACTTTGTGAGAGAGCACGCACTATCGATCATTTCCTTGAATTTCATATCGACCTCGGTCTGCGGTGGTTAGTAGGCCCGCAATAACATGCCTGCGGGAACCTGATATTGGGCATTTGTGGTACAGATTGCCGATTGAGCTAGTATTCTCGTGTGTTCATCTGACATGGGAAGAAATGACGTGTGCGCTCGCGAACCACAATAAACTACCTTCAGTTAGAGTCATCGGAAATGTCACCCTGGTCGACGACCTAATAACGGGAGGACTTGAATCATTGCAAGTGGTCTAAGAAAACCACTCGCTTGCAGAACACGTGGACTGAACAGCAGGTGCATACTGTCCGGGCAACTGCACGTTGCATAGATTAGATCGCTGCAATGCCGCTCAGGCAAACTACCTAACAGACATCCAACGTTTCTGTGAAATAATGAACCTACTGAAGTAGGTGTAAAGTGAGTGGAGTATTTCTGTCAAAGACATCGTTAGTTTCAATCAAGGAGTACAAAGATACAAAAGCGATGTTACACAGGACAATGGCGCACTAGCTGATGATACTGGGATATTCGCCTGACACATGGTCACACTCGTCCTTGAACCCGGGGGTATTTCGTTTTAAATAGAGCTTTATCTTTGATTTGCCCTTTGGACTGGACTCTGGGAAATCAAAGTACGATCTAAGTGGCACCACGTACAACTATGACGTCACTCATTCACGTATTGCATGAATAAATCTATGACGCTAATCACAGTGAAGTACGTAAGCCAGTTTCCATTCTTCTCACAGTAGAGCGGGAACGTTTGTGAGGCTTCGCTTAATTTAAAATCCAAGTTCCTTTTGGGATTGGCGATGTCCGTTATAAAAAGCGGCATGAAAAGTTGTTGATTTTAGTAACTATCTATCAACAGAAGATATTCGGTGTGGTTTTTGAGATAGAGATGTTCTGGTTGCTTCTTTTTGTTGGGTCTTTTCAGTTCAGGTTTCATCACAACATTGTCAGCACCTTGTGACATAATTACACAAAAGATTTTGTCACCAGCGAGTTGTTGAATTCATCTGATAGGAATAGATATGTTCACTCTACACTCACAGAAACCAGTAGTATCCATATTTGAGGCATCTGTTCTATCACATCGTGTACAACGTGATTTCTCGTTTTTCGGTTTCGCGCCCCTACCAGCTTCCATGTTTTCGACCTGAACGTGAGCTGCTCTTTGACCTTGTCATCGCACATGCTTTTTTAAATCATCAGGTGGTTTCGCTATCTTGTAACCACGTTGCCTTGAGTCGCTGTGTGCTTCGGGATTCGTTAGGAATCAGTAGTTTCTAAACCGGTGTATAGAACCTGGCATAATTCCACAATTTGAGGTCTGTACAGTTTTACTATTTTGTTATTGTATTCATAGTATCGTATTTGTAGATGAGCTTCCATTTGAACAATTTGGCTTTTGGGGTTTTGTGCTTGACTCACCGTGGGGCAGCTGATCGCTGGGAACAATCAATAGCTACTAGGTCATCACTTGAGCAGCTGGGCAAACCAGTCATAGTGTACGAGCTCTCCGTTTCAGACAGGATCGTTCACTTCCGTCCATCTTGCTTTGGTGGAGAGATTTTGCGTTAACCTAGCAGTTCAGCTGTTTCGAGTTCCGATCCCGGCATGGACAGGCGCCAGGAAAAGAGAAAACCTGTTCAAATAATTGGTGTTGTATCAGTTCGTTCGCTCTACGCTAGTTGCTCTGAGCGGCCAACCAACAGCTATATTTGTTGTAGAGAGGCATTGCTCTCAGCGGCTGTGAACGAAAGCACGCTCGATTAGTTGTCAGAGACCGGCTGTGAAGGCTGCTTCGAAAATCCCAAAATGTCGCATTATTAACCTACAAATAGTTACCCTACTCGATCGATACTGACTGCGATGCTGAGACCGGTACTTGGTCTACATATTGTAAGCTGTTTGTGTGTTTTGGATGTATGTCGTCGATACACACATCGACAAATGAAAACGGAAGCAAATTAGAGGTGTGAGTCATCTCAACTGAAACGATACAAATGTAGTCATTCTGTAGTCATTCTGCTCCAAAACGTTGACGTCACTGGCGTATTCTTAAATTTCAGCGTCTCATCGCATTCACCTCCAGCAAGGCATCAGAACAATGGGACTCGCATAGTTCATGTGTAACAGCTCTATCAAGAATAAGATGCTATTAACGTCATACAGATATAGATTCCTGGTGGCTCAGTCAACACGGTCTCACACTGCTCAGTACGTATCCATGTCCATCCCCCGATCTGACCTTAAGACTTTATTGCCCGATAATAACTGGTATGCCCCTAGCTCCCGCCCCCCGGCCGAAGGCCCTGAACCCTAGATTAATTCGTCCACATCAAACAGTTTTTACTGTTTTCACATCAAATCTGCCTTTTTCCAAAACGATGTGTTCCGTAACTAGAATCGTGACAACTATTTGTTATTCTGACGAAACAGATTTGTTTTCCGCTCGAACGATAAAAGTCTTCATCATGATCATGATGCTTATGGGGAAGCGGAACCAATTTGATGTAAAGAAAATCACCTATCTGTGAAAATATGGCCGACTTTCAAAGTCACACACAAATCAGTTGTGTGCAAAGGGAAGTTTGCGGTTACCTTGATGAAACACTACCTATACGGTTGTTGAAAATTATTGGTGAGCCCACGACTGGTTACGCCCCTATTGGGGATCAGCAGGTATGCACAGTCCTTGAGTTTCCGTCAAACCTACGTGGTGCTGTCCTGTGTCATGAACGTGTTGGGAATATCATTAAGATATCTTCACAACAGTGGATTGTTTTTATCAGTGATTGTGTTTCCAACTGGCCTGAGAACTAACCGCTAACGATTGCACTAGCCCCCTACCTGAAGCCTCCTTTTTTTAGTATTTACAACTGTTTGATTTACTACTTTCCAGGTTCCATTCTTACAGGTGCGTTAGTGCACCAAACTTTGTTTCAAAAAAGACGTGGTTCGTGTTCAGGTGGGGTAACCTCTCCCAGCCATGTTTCTTTGTCTAGACCGGGAACATATCGAAAGCAACTTAAAAACTCTGATACTGATTCAGCGCTTCTAAATTACCGGATTCGTTTTTTTTTCATTTATTTGGCTTCATTTATTTTCTCAAAGGGTGGCAGCCACAATGCACGGTGGAAAATAAGCAGCCTGAGTTGATTCGTTGCGTAAAATTAATTATTTATCCTTTAGAGCAATCACAAAGTGTTTCATACCATGCTGTACCGACTGACGAAATGGTGCTGGGGTGGGTCACCCACGTCGAGTGTGGAACATCAGCTCGCTGGGTCAGGAGCACAAGAATGGCCCATTCAAAACCATCTTGAAGTTTAACTTATCGCGAGTGATGGACGATGTAGGAACGCAATTACGCAATGCAAACTCGCCAATACTGCATCGTCATTTCGTCAGGGCTTCCAGGGCTTGTTGGGAAGCAGCAAAACCTAAGGACAGTCCTGGCGCCACCCATGGGTCATGCTCAAGTACGTTCAGGGCAGCACAGCGTCAACAGATAACAACTGTGATGTTTTTCAAGAGGTGACGTCAGGATTATCCATGAGGTGTGTGCACAGAAGATCCTCTCTGTAATACTAAAACAAACAATTGGAGAAAGCCATAGAATTCTCATTGGTTGCATTCAGTTGCTTTGTAGATACTTTCATTTCTTTTGGCCGAAATTGAGGACTGTTTTACTCCGTATGAGTCTTCCACAAACCAGGTGGTGCACGAAATTCCGATGGATATTATAGAAAATTTGGATGCTTTTGTGGGTCAGCTCAATTGAGGAATCTAAAATTGACACCTGGTGCATTGACTGTATAAGTTCCATGTCACTCGACAATCTCGAGCTGAGACATAGTATACTACCGTCCCTGTGCCCAGTTTTGAGATATGTTCATTTTTATTGAGCCTTCGTTGGTGTTTTTGACGTTCCGAACACAGATGCACATGATACTACTCATTCCAACCCATCCCCCTATTTGAATGACCCTCACACAGACACCTGACCCGATTGTTTTTACTGCACGGTCACTGGTCCTACCACCGCATGTTTTATTCCGTATGAATCTTCCACAAACCAGGTGGTGCACGAAATTCCGATGGATATTATAGAAAATTTGGATGCTTTTGTGGGTCCGCTCAATTGAGGAATCTAAAATTGACATCTGGTGCATTGACTGTATAAGTTCCATGTCACTCGACAATCTCGAGCTGAGACATAGTATACTACCGTCCCTGTGCCCAATTTTGAGATATGTTCATTTTTATTGAGCCTTCGTTGGTGTTTTTGACGTTCCGAACACAGATGCACATGATACTACTCATTCCAACCCATCCCCCTATTTGAATGACCCTCACACAGACACCTGACCCGATTGTTTTTACTGCACGGTCACTGGTCCTACCACCGCATCAGCTTTACAATGAATCTGTTCTACTTCAAGTGTACTGCCCTGGTCACAACCCAAATCATGTTGAATTTCTACGGCGGTTTTTCGCAGACCGTGAGCTACAGCAGCCTGATGTTTGCCTTGTTCAACTTGACAATGACCTCCCTCACCTGTCTGCTATATGGCATCTTTGAACAGCATTTACCCGAGAATGCTCTTCTGGCAAGGCCATATCTTTACCGTTTGGTAAGTGGATAGCGTAGATTTTCAGTCTATATTGTATTTTTTTATCGAGTTTGATAAACCTGTCTCCGGATAGAGTGTGGAGTTCCAGGTCAACAGCAATCACCGCTAAGTGTGTTCCGACGGATACTACTGATGAGGCATGCGAGTAGTATGTGGTTTTCTCCTGGTAACTCCGCCTCGCGTCAAATGGAATGTGGGGTTTATTACGGAACCTGTGGAACTGCTTTGCAGCTTTCGTTTACAGCAGCGTGATAATCAGCGAATATCCACGAAAGTTCAAGAAGACGCGTGAGGATGTTCAGTTACTAAAAATAAGATGCATATGAGCTAACCTCCTGTAACCGTTTAGCTGGAGTTTGCTGACTACCAACTTCGCGGCCAAGGGCTTTCCTCTTAACAGTGGTAGTAAGGGCTGGCATAAGCAGGTTAATTTCGATTCCAGCACGAATTCGCACTTTACCTAGAAGGCGAAACTGCCTGGGTCACCAGGTCATAACCACGAATAATAACCATTCGAATTCAAATTGAGTTCAAGATCCAAACATCTGAGTAGGCAGATCAAGAGGCTATCAGTAAGTGCAGCGACTAATCGGCTGTTTGGTGGCATTAATTTCTTCGGGTTAGTTGGGGAGAAATACAACCATGACTAGAATAAAACCACGAGGATGGAGCAGTGGAATAACCAATGCTGTAGAACTGCCCCATGACCTCATTGATTATCGGTCTTTTCAACACAGTGTTCTCGATAGCATCCGAAGAATCACAATAAAAAAGCATGCCAATTGCATCTGAATCGATACAGTATAATTCCAAGTCACTTTGAACGTTCTCCGCGTCCAAACGTCCCAATCCTTTTATTTTGTGTTTCTTTGTTGTACACCCGAACCAGTTACTCCTCTCCTTCCGATTTATTTTGTTCCGGAACAGATTTCCCAACAAGCCAATCTCAAATTATGGTACGTCATGATATGGATAGTCGAAGGTGTGTGGCATGGAATTATCACTTTCATCATGACCTTTTTCGCCCTCGGTGGCGGCTTCTATGCGCCGGCCTCATTCTATGACAGTGGACTCAGCAGTCGTGCCACTTACGACCTTTATTTCCTTGGCATTGCAAACTTTATATTCTTGTGGATAAGTGTGTCTGTCCGAATCCTCACCTTGTCACGATGCATCAATACCGGAGTGCTCATCGGCTACGGGATCACTCTTATCAATATTGTCTTATTCTACCCCGACCAGGTGAGTGTTGGCGTAGATGTTTGTGCCTGACTTGTGTAATATGTGGGGGTGGTAATCAGGTTCTAGAGGTGAAACCTGTTTTCCTACAACCGGAGTGTGTACATCACTTGATAAACCCGATTTGCCTTTAATGGGGCTCGTATGACACATACATACAGAAGCCTGTAAGGAATTTCTGACTGGAAGTCGGCAATGAATCTCAGTTAAATCCATAATACGAATATGCAAACATGACTATGAGCACATTTGTAGACCAAATTTACCCAAGTAGATCGCCGATCCAACTTTTTATATGCTTGGCAGTGTCGCACAGCCCCCAACCCCATGTAGGTTGCGTATCTCTAGCCTTATTTGCCTGTTTATCTAACTATAAGTGCATCGATAGGGCCATCTGCCATTTTCTTTGCCTCTCTGGTGCGGACGTAAAACTCAACACCTTCAAGAAGGGCGTGTACATCCTCATCATCATCGACAGCATGTTCGACACCGATACTTCACTGTCGTCCGACCATCATTCATTTGAAAGCCTTATTGTAAAGAAAAGAGTAAAAGTGGACGAGGAAGGGACTTAGTGCTAGCTTACCACAATCATTCCGAGGTGCCTA